CACCCAACTCCCTCTGACTTTATATTTGAGCTCCTAAGCTGTTCTTGCTGCTTTAGAAATTCGAGCTGAGCTGCTGGGGTTCTCAGAGGCACGGTGAATGGAGAGGCTTTGTGGGAACAGCAGCCACTGGCCTCTCCAAGGCCCTGCAGCTCCCTGTCCGTGGCCACAGCCAGAGCTCCTGGGCCCAGGGAACCACCACAGACACGTCCCAGCCTCCCTGGATGAAGTCACTGGGAATCTGCCAAGGACTTGGCCCCGATTTCCACCCTGACGTAGCTGCAAATCCTTTCTCCTCCAAAGCAGATTTTCCCAGAGGGGTTTGGGATTTGCCAAGAGTAAAAACCTGAGCTCCTGCAGCCAGGGGGTGTCACGAGGGCTCAGCTCTGAGTGTGGGGCTCTGGGCACACGGGGAGGGTGGGGGGAGAGAGTCACAGGGCCCCAGACCCTGCTCCCACCCCTGTGCCCTGCGGGCTGAGCCTTGGCTGGCTCTGTTTGAACATCACTGTGCTGTGCAAGAGAGATGTGACCTTCATCTCAGCCTCCAGAGAGTGTGAGGAGCTCAGAATCCCTGTTGATGGGGCTCGTGGATGTCTTGGCTGTGCTGCCTTTGGAGGGGGGAGCAGCTGGAGCAGTTCTCTCCCATTTGTTCAGCCTGGAGAAGGGGAAGAAGAGATGAGAGACCTCGTGGCAACCTCCAGCCTCCTCCCGAGGGGCTGCTCCATCCCTGCCCTCTGGGAGCAGGGACAGCACCCAGGGAATGGCTGGAGCTGTGCCAGGGCAGGGCAGGGTGGAACCCAAGCAAAAGGTCCTCCCCCAGAGGGTGGTCGGGCACTGACCAGGCTCCCCAGGGCAGTGGGCACAGCCCCAAGGCTGCCAGAGCTCCAGGAGGGGTTGGACAACGCTCTGAGGGACAGGGTGGGATTGTTGGGGTGTCTGTGCAGGGCCAGGAGCTCGACTGCATGATCCTTGTGGGTCCCTTCCAGCTGGGGATATGTGACCAGGTGTGACCTGACACCTTCTTGAGGGTTGGAACATGATGAGTCTCGGGTCAACACTGCTCATCCCACCAGCCAGCAGAAGGCCTGGCCTGTGCCCCAGCTGCTCTGCTGACAGGCTGTGACAAGCTGCAGTGCCCAGCTCGGCAGAGAACATCAGGATTTCACGGCATATTTTACCACCAACTTTCTGGTTGTTTGTTTGGGGTTTTTTTTCAGCTGTTTTTCTTCCTTTGATTTTTTTTTTCTTTTTCTTTTTTAACGTCCTTGCTCTGTAGCAACTTCAAGGTATCCCGGGCTGCTCCTGACCTGAACAAGGCAGAGCACGACAGGAAAAATGCATCCAGGAGCAGGTCGGAGTAAGTGCCCATAAACACCGAGAGTCTGCAGCAAAGCAGCTGCCTCCCTCCCTCCCTCCCTCCCCCTGCACGGGCCCGCACAAATTGAGGCTCTGCGGGTTTTACAGCTGTCAGACAATGAGCCCGGTGCCGGCTATTTCCTCCTGCTTTTCCTTTCTTTTAATGGAAAACAGCTCAGCGCTGCCAGGGCTCAAGTGGCCCCTCCAGCAGCGAATCGATGGAGCCCCGGCTCTGCTCCGGGGCTGGGCTGGGCTGGGCACAGAGGGCTTGTGTTGCTGCTCATCCTCCCTGCCAAGGCTCCCCAGCCCTCCAGCACGATTCTTACAGGCAGGCAGATGTTTATTTTTGGTCTGGGAGGGGATTGAAGAGCACAAAACTGCCCCAGAGGTGCTGGGGGTGACCAGGATGGGGAGGGTGGGCTGCACATGGGGAGAAGCCCCTGGCAGGGTGGGCCCCTTGAGCTTTGGGATTTCTGCCCATGCTCAAGCAGAGCAAAAGAAATCCTTATCCCTGACCTAAGTGCAGGCAAGTGAAGAGTGAAGATTAGTCTTTATTACATCACTGCTTTGATAAAGGCTGGATCCCACCCTGGGCTGAGTGACCACTCAACCTCAGCCTTTGGGATAAATCCCCTGTGACACACTCTGAGGCAGAGAACCCACCTCTGCAGTGCTTCATCCTCGCTGCAGTCACGGCACAGCCTGTGGCACAGGGAGCTGCAAAGCCCTGGCACAGGCTGCCCAGGGCAGTGGTGGAGTCACCACCCCTGGAAGTGCTCAAAAAACGCGTGATTGTGGCACCTGGGGACGTGGTTTAATGGTGAACGTGATGGTGGGTTCGTGGTTGGACTCAATGATCTCAGACATCTCTTCCAACCTTAATGGTTCTGCGATTTTCCTCCCCAGGCTGTTGGGTTTTGCCCCTCAGCTGAGCCCAAAATCCCTCCCGGGCACTTCCAGTAAATCCCATTTGTGGCTGGAATCATGGAATTGTTACGGCTGAAAAGACCTCTGCAGAGGAACAGCACATGCTGGGTGGAACATGGAACATCTCCTCTTTCTGTTTAGGACTGGGGGCAACAAAGTCTGGCTCCTGTGCCTTCCAGGGGGCTTTGGACACGCAGCATCCAGGGAAGGGGTTGATCCCTGCTCTTTAATCTGGGCTCTGAAGCCCGCGGTGGATTTGGATGCACGGGGAGCAGAACCGGGGAACGGCAGCTCTGGAACTCTCCAAAGCCTCCCTTTATTTCCCTGGGCTGAGTTTTCCGCGCCTGACAGTGCTCAGAGGTGATTTATGTATAACCAGAGCAGCCTCCAGTGGTTGGATCCGCGAACTTTTCCAGCCGCCCTTGGTCGCGGCTCACGGGGCGGGTTTTGCAGACCCCAAGCCCAGCCTAGGAGGGGCGGGGAGGGCGAGCCGGGAGCAGGGGGCTCCAGCAGGGATGTGGGGATCCTCTGCCAGTGCTGTCCCACCACATCCAGCCCTCCGGGTGCCCGGGAGGGGCGGGGAAGGCAGATCCCACTGCTCTGGGCTCCCACATCGCCTGTCCCTGCCCAGGAGCGGATGGTCCTGCTGGGTTTGTGGGCTCAGGGGCGGTGCAGGGACCCAGCTCGCAGGGACAGGAGGGTGCAGGATCCCTCGGAGTGCTGTCCTGCAGCTGGAGCTTCCCAGGGGGAGCAGCTCGGAGAGAATCCCTGCCAGGAAAGGGGAGGTTTGGGGGGTCTGGCTTTTAAATTCCCTCCCCGTGCCTTGGCCACGGGTTCTCGGAGCGGTTCTTGCTTCCCAGGGCAAAGCAGGGGAGGGACAGGGCTGTGCCCTGGGGGTGCTGGGAGGAGGTGGGAAGCTGAGGAGGATGTGTGTGAAGGTCACAGCAAATCCCGAGGGGGATTTGTGCCTCCCTGAGCCTCTGGAGCAGCTCCAGGCCCGGAGAGAGCCTCGTGTCCCCCGGGACAGGAGCTTCAGGAGCAACACTGGGAGCTGATAAATCCTGCCAGGGAGCTGATAAATCCTGCCAGGGAGCAAGGGGCAGCTCGGGCTGGGCTCCAGCTCTGATTTTATGGAAAACAAGGAGAGGAGGTGAGGCAGAGAGGTCTGCTCTGCGTCTGAGAAAAGAGGCAAAGAGGTCTGCTCTGTGTCTAAGGAACTTCCCTTATCAAAAGGCAGATTGGTGACACTTTTCCTCGATGCAGCTGCCCAGGCATTTCAAAGCCTCTGAAATTTCATTATCTAAGGAGCCGTCTCTGGCTTTGTTGGGGACTTCTGGCTGCTTTACAAAGCAATTCCAGCATTATTATTGGAACAAAAACATAACAACTACTAATCCTCTGCTTAAATGACCAGTGAGTTCCCCGCAGGCAGCGCTCTGCCAAAACATTTATCCACCTAATTTTATTTCATGTAGTTTCTTTAAATTCAGATTTAACCTTTTGTGATGGGGGTGGGAGGCACTTCTGTTCAGAAGCACATTGTACAGTCACCTGGGAATGTAATTCCCTGGTGCAGGGGAGGGAGAGGGCTGCTGCTTGTCCACATTAAAAGGTGTCTTACAGAGCTGTGAAAGGACAAGTTTCCTTTCAGGTCACTCAGTGCCTGTTTTTTGAAGGAGTGTGGCCAGGCAGAAGGGAAAAGCTCAACCTCTCTGCAGGTAAGTGGAGTCAAACCCCTTTTTCCAGGGGGCAGGACAGGCTTTCCCCAAGCTGGCAGCATCGCCCAGCCACGAGACACCGTTGGCTCAGCCAGGACCTCCTTGCTCATCCTTGGAGCTCCCGAGGCTGTATCCTGGGAAAAACACAACCTCAGCTGCAAACAAACCGGGAGACTTTCCCTGCTTCCAATCGAACAGGACTGGGGGAGAGGGTGCCAGAAATCTCGAAACGTGTCATTTGGCCTGGGACGGCTTCTTTCGGCTCTCCCTCGCCTCGTTTTTCCCACCACACTCCCACTTTCTGATTTGAGTCAAACTTTTCTCTGGAAAGCCGGTGCTTCAAAGGGGAGAAGGGAGCGTATCCCGCCTGGGAAATGTTTAGCTGAAATATCGCACCACTTGTGAAATGAACGGCGTCGTTTAGGAGCTGTCAAAACAAAACCCTTCCATCTTCCCAGTTTCCTCTTTCTTTTTTTTATTTTTTTTTCCTCCCCCACCGTGGGGAGAAAAAAAAAAAATAAAAAAAAATTCCCTGCCTTTGACATGAATTTGTAAATACTTTGTTCCCTGTCCACAAATGAGATGATCCTTAAGGTCCCTTCCAGCCTGAACCACTCCACGATTCTATTTTCTATCACCATATAAACCCTCTCCCCCCTCCTCCCCAAGGTTTATGTATTCCTTGCAAATGAATAAAATATAAAATATCACCAAGCCCTGGCCGTGCAAAGGGACTCTGGCTGAGGGGGGTTAGGGTTAGAGGGTGAGGTCAGCTGTGTAAAACAGCTGAGGATTCACCCCCTCGAGATTCCCGGCGTGGGGAATCATGGCTCGGGCAGCACTTTCTCAGCTCGCCCTTCTTCCCTGTTGCTGTGCAGGAGGAGGAGGAGGAGGAGGAGGAGGCAGAGCAGGGCTGGCAGGAGGGTTGGGATGTGCTGCTGCCATGGGCTCCTGCTCCATCCATGCACAGCGTGAGATAAACAAAGCTGCCTCTGGCCATGTCATGCCTTAAAATAGATGTTCATACATCAGCCTCTCTCTCCAGCGGCGGCGGCAGCGGCGAGACATGGCCGACTGGAGCTGAGCCTGCCCCCGCTCCCAGAAGGAATCCCAGCCCTCGCCAAGGTAGGGTGAGGGGTGGGCGTCCCCTCCCCGCCGGGGCTGTGTGTCTGTCTGTCTGGCTGGCTGGCTGGCTGGCAGGGAGCTGGGTGCCCAGGGTGAGCCCCCTCCCTGCCAGCCTGGCACGGGGGGTCTGGAGCTGCCACGGGGGGAGCGGGGAGTGACCCCTCTTTGCAGAGGGGGTACATCCCGTGCCTGGGGGGGTTTGGGTGCCCTGAGTGCTGGGGGAGCTGCTCCCAGCCCCGGGATGTGGGGCAGCGTCCCTGTGACCCCTCGGGGGGCTGGCGTGGGGCTGTGCAGGGGGTGGGATGCTGGAGGCAGCTTTGGCCCAGGAAAGGTGTGGATTGCTGGTTTTCCAGCTGTGGCAGGAAGAGGGGCTGCAGCTCCTCCAGTTCCAGCCTTCCTGCGTGATTCAGTCGCTTTTCCAGACCCCCCTGCTGCTTGTCTCTCAGTGCTGGTGACATGTGGCTGTGCTGCAGCCAAGGTCACCCAAGGTTTGAGGGCCCTGCCCGGTGCCTTTCCCCGGGTGGGCTTTGCCAAGTCTGAATTCCCGGCGTGGAGGAGCCCAAACGTGCTCAGAGCAGGGTGAGATCTGTGCTGGGGGCCAGGGATGGGCAGTTTGGGCAGGGCTGACCTGCCCTGCACAGCTCCCCGGGGTCTGAAGTGCCCCCCTGGAATGGGGAGTGGGGAGGGAGACATCCATGAGCCTCCTCCTCCCAGCTCCCCCGTGTCCTTGCAATGCTTTTCTCCTCACGTTGCCAAGGAATGGCTGGAGGCTCCTTCCTTCTGCTCCGCTGGCTGGTGCCTCGGGCAGCACGTCCCTCACGGGCTCTGCCCCAGCCTGGGCAGCCCAAGGTCGCTGTGTCCCCCTCTCCAGTCCCAGGGACAACTGGCCGGGGCTGGGCTGGGCTGGGGGGTGGGAGGGGAGGCTCTTTGGGCACCTCCCAGGGTGGGAGCGATGGGAGAAAGGGAATTGATTCCCGTGGGAGGAACGGTCAGCCGGGCAGCAGCAAAAAAAGGCCCCTCTGACCACATCTGGCCCAGGGACCGTGACCTCCCAGGGGAGGATTCCTGCAGATGTGTGACAAACATCCCAACGATCCAAGGGCCTGGGAGCAGAGCTGTAGTGTCCTAGAGGAGCTGCTGTGTAAATGGAGCCCTCTCATCCCCTGGAGTTAACTCTTCCCACCCCAGCCCAGCCCTGGCTGTGGGGGTGCAGCAGCAGCACTGCTGTGCAGGGAGGGGTTAATCCTGCCTCTCCCTCCCCGGAGGGCTCTGCAGGAGCCTGGGTCCTGGCCAGGCTGCCTGGTGCCATATGGAATCCTCCACCTGTCTGGGGCTTTCTCCTCCCCAGCCCTGGTGTTTTGCCCAGACCTGGCTGCCTTTCCTCGCCTCTCGAGCGCAGGTTTGGCAGCACCAGCCCCGGGCTGGCGCTGCCCCAGGGCCCAGGAGGAAGGTGGTCCTGTGCAGAGCATCTCCTGCCAACGTGGCCTCAGCCCAAAGTCGTGGGGCTGGAGCAAAAGCTCAGCCTGTGCAGGCTCAGCAGTCTGGCTGCCTCGCCAGCCCTGGCAGCACCAACTTCTTCCCAGCAGTTTTCCTTCTTGGAAGGGCTGCAGGGGATGCTCGGCTCACCCTGGGAAGCAGTGGGGGGCTGACCTGACATGGGGAGGGTGAGAACTGGCTGCTTTGGGCCAGTATTTCTACAAAAGGGACCGAGTGAGAGGTCCCCAATTAGAACACCACAGAATCCCAGGATCACTGGGGTTGGAAGAGCCCTCCTAGACCATCGAGTCCCCCCTGTGCCCCATCCCCACCTCGTCCCCCAGCCCAGAGCACTAAGTGCCACGGCCAGGCCTTCCCTGGGCACCTCCAGGGCTGGACACTCCAAACCTGCCTGGGCAGTTCCAATGTTTAACCAACCCTTTCCAGGGAGAAATTCCTCCTGATGTCCAACCTGACCCTCCCCTGGCACAGCTTGAGGCCGTTCCCTCTCCTCCTGTCCCTTGTTCCCTGGCAGCTCCCCCCTCCTGTCAGGGGGTTGCAGAGCCAGAAGGTCCCCCCTGAGCCTCCTTTTCTCCAGGCTGAGCCCCCCCCAGCTCCCTCAGCTGCTCCTGCTGCTCCAGCCCCTTCCCAGCTCCGTTCCCTCCCCTGGACACGCTCCAGCCCCTCAGTGTCTCCCTGGCACCGAGGGGCCACTTCTCCTCACAGCATCTCCCCTGCTTCCCTGGCAGGACCGTGGGTGGCAGCGGCAGCAGAAGTGACCTGCGGGCCCCCGTGCGGCCTCCTCGCCCCCACAGGTATGCCGGGTGGGTCTCGGCAGCTCCCATGGCCTTCCTGTCCAGGTTCTACAGGGCCAGCAGCAGGTCCCCGAGCCGGGCCCCGCGGGAGGAGCGCGGGGGACACCCCATCCTCAGCGTCTTCGAGCTGGAGAGGCTCCTGTACACGGGCAAGACGGCCTGTAACCACGCTGATGAGGTGTGGCCAGGACTCTACCTGGGAGACCAGTATGTAATGGGAACGGGATGGGGACCGGGGGGGTCAGGGCTGCTTTGGGGAAATCTTGGGAGGGGGAAAGTTGGGAAAAGGAGGGTGAGGAGGATGCGGTGGGTGTGGAACACCAGGAGAAAGGAAGGAGGACTTGGAAGTCCTTCCCAGCAGGGCTGTGAAGAGTTCACAGGATCACAGAATAGGCTGAGCTGGAAGGGACCCCCAAGGAGCATCCAGTCCAACTCCTCACCCTGCACAGGCCCATCCCCAAGGGTCACTCCCTGTGCCCCAGAGGATCAGCCAAACCCTCCTGGAGCTCTGGCAGCCTTGGGGCTGTGCCCACTGCCCTGGGGAGCCTGGGCAGTGCCCAACCAGCCTCTGGGGGAAGAACCTTTTGCTGAGATCCAACCTGAGCCTGCCCTGACACAGCTCCAGCCATTCCCTGGGGTCCTGTCCTGGGAGTTCAGTGCCTGCCCCTCTTCTTCCCCTCCCCAAGAAGCTGTATCCTGCTGCTGTGGTGGGGTGTGTGTGGGGTCAGGGACTTAAAACTCGAGAATCTGCAGGACCTGGTTGTTTTCCTCCATGCCCACCTCGCTCGGGCGGGAATGCTGGCACGGGACAGCCTTTGGGAACTCGTGAGGGGTCTGAGCCGTGCCCTGTCCCCCCCCCTGCAGGGATATAGCCTCCAACCGGCGGGAGCTGGCCCAGCTGCGCATCACCCACGTGCTCAACGCCTCCCACAGCAAGTGGAGGGGGGGGGCCGAGTACTACGAGGGCACCGGGATCCGCTACCTGGGCATCGAGGCCCACGACTCGCCCTCCTTCGACATGAGCCCCTACTTCTACCCCGCCGCCGACTTCATCCACCAGGCCCTGAATGAAGGTCCGTGGGAGGGGTTCTGTGGGGCAGTGGGGAGCAGCGGTGGGAAGGGAGGCAAGGGGGAGGCTGGGTTGACACCCCGTTGGCTCAGCAGCCTGGGAAACAGTGGGGTTTGTGGGGTGGTGCCTCCTGCACGGAGGGAACAGGGCGGGTGGGTGACCCTGGGGTCAGCTCGTGGTGCTGGTGACGCCAGGGCGGTGGGTTTGACCCCACTGAAGAGCTGGGCTCCATGATCCCTGGGGCTCCCTCCCAACCCAGAACATCGTGGGGCTCTGTAAGAGCACTGCCCCGCCGGGTCACAGCCCCAGCCCGTGCTCCCAGCCGTGGCTGAGCCTGTTCAGCCTGGTTTGGTTTGGCCTGGTTTGGTTCAGTCTGGTTTGGTTCAGCCTGCTTTGGTTCAGTCTGGTTTGAGACACCACAACAGGCTGATGCCCTTTGCCACCCCACAACTGGGGCCCTACACCCGGGTGCTGTTCACCTGAGCCCCCCCAGCTCCGGGTGCTCCGTGGGCCCCCGGGCAGGGTCTCGGGTGGGATCCATGTCGTGCCGTGACCCAGCCCCCGTGTTTGCCCCCAGGGAGGATCCTCGTGCACTGCGCTGTCGGGGTGAGCAGGTCGGCCACCTTGGTCCTCGCCTACCTCATGATCCGCCACCACATGCCCCTCGTAGAAGCCATAAAGACGGTCAAGGACCACCGTGGCATCATCCCCAACCGCGGCTTCCTGCGCCAGCTGGTGGCCCTGGACAATGCCCTGAGGCTGAAGAGGAGCTCCTGAAGGAGGAGGAGGAGGAGGAGGGGGGTGTGTGTGCTGTGGTGGGAGCAGTGCCCACCCCGTGCCCAGACCAGGCTCTCTCTCCCCACGGCGCAGTCGCTTGGCAGCTCGTGGGTCACCTCAGCCCAGGGGGTGCCCAGCCCTGCCAGCCATTCCCAGTGGTCCGGCACAGCCCCTCCACCTGCAATCCTGCCACCCAGGCAGGTCTGACCAGAGCCTCCCTCCCAGCCTGCTCGCTCCAAGATGCCTCCGGAGGGACTCGGCCCCACCTCACAGGTCACTCCATCCCCGTGGGCTCCAGGAGGCCTCCGAGGCCTCGTTCTCCCTCCTGGCAGATGCGTTTGCCGAGCCAGTCCCGTCCCTCCCTCGCAGGACACCGAAGCTCTGTGTCCCCTGTCGTGTCCCCCCGTGTGCTCTCGGTGTGTGTAGCCTCGTGAACCAGGCCTGGTGTGTGGGCTCAGCCTCCCGTCCCAGTGTTTGGGTGCTCTCCATGCCTCGTGTCAACCCGTGAAAATAAAGCCAGTGCTGAGGAAAAATCCGGCCCCCCCTTTGCTTTGGGACAGCTCCGGCTGGGACCTGTCAGGGGAGTGGGTGGCAGAGCATCGCCCCGAGCACTCGGGGCTGGGCTGGATCTGATTTCCCCCAGATCCTCAGTGCAGGGGTCAAACCTGAGCCCCCACAGCGCTGGGCATCCCCACTCCTTCCTCTGCAGCAGCGGGGACAGAGGGGGGCTCCTGGTGGGCAGCAGAGCTGGGCTGGCACTCACAGGGGCTCCATCCAGCCCCGAGCTCCAGCCAGGCCTGCAACAAACCCCTTCCCCCAGTGCTGGGCCGAGCCCAGGAGGGTGACCAAGGCCAGGAGCGGGTGTCTGTGTGGCAGGGGCGGCCCCAGGGTGCCCCACACGCTCCCAGCACTCATTGTCCTCCCGCTCTTATTATAGCTCCATTCTTCCCGCGCTTCCGGAGGGCGCCCGGAGCAGCGCCGGCTGTGCTGGGATCCTGTAAACACGGAGGGACAGGAGCCCCGTGGTCACCAGCCACCTGCAGGGGCCACAGCTCGGAGGGAGATGCCGATCATAAAGTCCTTTAGGTTGGAAAAGACCTCTGAGATCAAGTCCAGCCATCCCCCAGCACTGCCAAGGCCACCACTAAACCCACGTCCCCACACGCCACATCTCTCTGTTAAATCCCTCCAGGGATGGGCGTCCACCACTGCCCTGGGCAGCTGTGCCAGGGCTGGACAACCTTTTCCATGGATATCCAGCCTATCCCATCCCGAACCTGAGACTGAGAGCCTCCAGGAGCCCGGTGCCCTGTCTGGGGGGGTCCCCCAAAGGGCTGGTCCGTGCCCGAGGATGGGCTGGGCACCAGCCAGGTGGCATTTGGGGCAGGTAATCCCCACCTGGATCACGTGTGGGAGGGCGGGATCTGTTTCCTGGGACACTCGCCATGGGATGCTCAGGGCGGGGACATCCCGGGATGCTCAGGGACACCCATGGGATGGGCTGGGACACCCGTGAGATGCTCAGGGCTGGGACATCCGTGGGATGCACAGGGCAGGGACACACCAGGATGCTCAGGGACACCCATGGGATGTGCAGGGACCCGTGGGATGGGCTGGGACACCCCGGGATGCTCAGGGTCACCCATGGGATGCTCAGGGACACCCGTGGGATGGGCTGGGACACCCGTGAGATGCTCAGGGCTGGGACATCCGTGGGATGCACAGGGCAGGGACACACCAGGATGCTCAGGGACACCCATGGGATGTGCAGGGACCCGTGGGATGGGCTGGGACACCCCGGGATGCTCAGGGTCACCCATGGGATGCTCAGGGACACCCATGGGATGCTCAGGGCTGGGACACCCGTGGGATGCTCAGGGCTGGGACCCCCGTGTGTGTGTCCGGTGCCCCGGGGACACCCCGCCCGTGCCATCCCCGGGTCCCGGCGCTGCCGGCGCGGCGGGGGCGGTCCGGGGGCGGCTCCGGGGGGGCTGCCGGGGCCGGGGCGGGGTTTTGCGGGCACGGCCGCTCCCGGCCATGGCCCGGCCGAGCCTCCCCGGCCCCGCGGAGCGGCTGCCGGATGCCTCCGTTCCAGTGGTGCCACGGTGAGAGCGGGGGCGATGGGGAGGGTCGGGGATGGGGGCGATGGGGAGGGGGAGCCTCTCCCCTCCCTCCTGCCCGGGAAGGGAGGGATGCGGGCTGTGGATCGGGGGCAGCGGGGCATCCCCGGCGGGGATGGGCGCACGGACCCCGCTCCGAGGGCTCCCGGGGTCCCGGTGCCACCGTCCTGCTCCCGGAGCGGCGAGTCCTGCCCGGTTCCCAGGGATAAAGCCGGCGGCGAAATGGATTCGCCACTTTTTCGCTGGTTGCACCGACGAAAAAAAAGAAAAAAAAAAAGCCCCAACCAAAAAACCCCCAACCCCCTGTTTCGTGTGTCCGCAAAAGTGGAATAAACTTATTTTTAGCCCTCCCTCCCCCCTCAGCGGCTCCTCACGCTCCGTGTCGGCCGTAAGAAGTTCTCAGGAACGCGGAGCTGAGTCTGCACATGTGAGGGAGGGTTTTGGTTTGAACGAGAAGTGGTTTGTTTTTTACGGCTGAAGTAGCTGAGAAGCCGCGCCGGGAATTCCACCATCAAAGCCCTGCCCGAGCAACAAAAGGCCCGGGCTGTTTTAATTGACGAAAAGGGTTACAGCCTTTGAAGCTTAAAAATGGGATGCACCCGGTGGCTTCCTGCCCTGTAACACATCCCTGGTGGGCTCGTGGGGGACGAGGGGTCCCACGGGGAGTTCCCCGGCACATGTGGGTGTCAGGAAATGCTCCCAGCTCGGCTCTGTGTCGAAAGGAACACCCTGAATAAGAGGGGCTTTGCTTCCAGAGCCTCTGGGGAGCACCAGGGACAGAGCCCACCCTTGTTCAGGGGCCGGGGCGTGGGTTGAGGGCACCCAGCTCGGGCACTTTGGCAGATATTCAGTAAATCAGCAGGGCCCAGTGCTGTCCAGGACCTTTACAGAGCTGGGGCTGTCGGTGGGAAGAAGAAGTCTGAGATCCACTAAGAAATCACATTTTCAGCCTAAATAGGTTTATTGAAATCATCCCCACGGCCTGAGGGCTGAACTGCTGCCTCTGCACCTCAGCTCCTCCTCTGCACCACAGCTGCTCCTCCTGTTGCTCACCTGTGGTTCAGGACTGCACAGTGCAGGGGACATCGTTTGGAGGGGAGCTGGTTGTCCCCCCCCAGAGAACTGCTTGGCTTAGGGGCAGCTTTTGCAGGAAACCCCATCCAGCAAAAATTATATGGAAGCTGCATTCAATTTTCTGATGCAAAGCCCCACAGCCTTTGTGTGGGAGGAGAAAGAATGGTTTTATTTAATGACCTGCTGAGTTTTCCATTTGTTTCATTGAACAAGAATCGGGGTGAGGGAGAAGCCCCTGCTCAGCAAAAACCCTGAGCCTGCGCAGCCTGGGTGGAAACTTGTGTCTGTCCTGACTTGAAATGCTCCAAAATGTGGCGTCTGAGGGGCCAAAGCTTTGGCAGTTTGGGTGAGAAATACTTTGCTGGCAGAACAAAGCACCTTCCTGAGCATCCTTTGTGCGGGAGGAGAGTCCAGAAAGTCCCCAGGTGTCTGTGGGGACATGTCAGCTGATCCCTCTTTTCTCATATTTTTTTTTCCAACTAAACCACTGCTCCAGTCTTTGGGAGTTCTGGTTCTGGGAGACTTGAGCTGGTGACATGGGTTTGGTGCTCATCAGCTCTTAATTTCATGTCATCTGAGCCCGGATTTGATCCATTTCTGTTGAGCTAAAAACAGGGACACCTTTGTCGGGTGAAGGGGTTTGTGATAATCAAAACCACCCAGGCACCTCCCAGGCTCTGCTGGAGGGGAGGGGAGGGATGGGGGGAAAAGGATGGGAGGGCCTTGCTTTTTGGGGATGCTGAGCTCAGCAGCTCCAGGGCTCGTCCTGGCAGGACCATCCCATGAAGGCACTTCCCTGGGGCCACTTTTTGGCCTCACAGCCCGGAGCTCATGAATTCCTGGATGGCCCTGCTGAGCTGGTGAGTCCACAATTAGCTGTGTTGTGGCTGGCAGGGACTTGTCAGCTCCTCTCTGCTTCCCTCACCCCGGGGCTGCTCCAGCAGCTCGTGTTCCACCTCAGGCTTCCCCTGCTGACTGTTTGGCTGCCCCTCTCCCAGCACCCAGGGGGCTTTTCCCCGTGGATGTGTCCCTCTGTGGGGATTTCAGGTGTCTTCACGTGGAGCAGAGCTCAGGGAGCAGCTCTGGGGTCAGGGAATGGGATTTCTACCCCATGGGGTGGGAGGGAGGGACGGCCCCGTGCAGAGCAGGGGGGCTGGGGGGGCTGGTTGGGATCGTGTGCTAGGGAGGGTTTGTGTCTCTTGGGGTTCTCCTTCCCATCCCACCTGATGCTTCTCCTGGAAAACCTGCAGGATGCACATCCCAGGTTTCCCCACTCTCTGGGGAGCTGATTCTCCTCCTGCTATCCCTGACAGGAGCTTTCCCATCCCAATTCTCCTCCTGCTCTCCCAGACGAGCTCTTTCCCATCCCAATTCTCCTCCTGCTATCCCTGACAGGGGCTTTCCCATCCCAATTCTCCTCCTGCTCTCCCAGACAAGGGCTTTCCTATCCCAATTCTCCTCCTGCCATTCCAGACAAGGGCTTTTCCAGCTCATCACAGGTGGCCACCAGCAGGTCCAGGCCATGCCCTGCTGGCTGTCAGCCCCTCTCCCCTCTCCAAACTCTACCTGTGGCACCCTTTCTGTCCCCACTCCTGTGGCACAGAGGCTGGTGCTCCTCAGCAGCTCCTGGGAATGGCCTGGAAGGCCCATGGGAAGGGTTATTGTTTCACTGTGGCCCGTTATTGTTACCACGACCCACCTCCCTCTGCCCAGCCTGGCTTCCTCCATCCACCCCTGTCCCTCCTCCAGGTGCACCAGCATTACCTCATGTCCTTGCTCAGTGGGTTTGTGTTTTTCCCAGAGCTGTATATGCTTTGCTTTGCTTTGCTTTGGGTGGAATTTTTTTTTTTTTTTTGGGGGGGAGCATTTCTCAAATCATTTCCAGCAAGGAAACGGCAAAAAATAATGAAACCTTTCCTATTGTCTTTTCCTGCACCTGGTGGTCTCGGGAGCAGGAGGCCAGGAGAGAGGGGGACCCAGCAAGCAAATCCTCCCTTTCCAGCCCTGGGCACGAGGTGGATGATGGATTGTCTGCATTCTGGGGCAGGAAAACCCCCTTTCCTACAGTGCAGGCTCCCCTCTGGTGCTGCTCCAGTGGCACGGTGGAGGAGGTTTTTGAGGAGGAGGAGGGTGCTGAGAGGGAGGAAGGGGCTGGGGGAGCTGCTCTGTGGGGCACAGAGGGGGCTCCTCTCCTTCTAAAGTCCTGTCTGGGTGAGAGCTGAGGAGAAATCAGAGCTCCAGCTCTCGGGAGAGCACAGTCTGAGACGTATTCAGGGCTTGGGGTCTCTGTGCCTGTTCCCCTCAGTTCAGTGGGACCCTCCCACTGTCACCAGCCCTGT